GGCCTGAGCTCGGGGGCGGGGCCAAGGAGCAGTGGGCGGGGCTAAGGAACGGGGTGGGGCAGGGCCCGGGGGCGGGGCCAAGGAACAGGGGGCGGGGCTTGGGGCCGGGGGGCGTGATTAAGGAACAGCGGGTAGGGCCAAAAAATAGGGGGCGGGGCCTGAGCTCGGAGGCGGGGCTAAGGAACAGTGGGCGTGGCTTGGTCCCGGGGGCGGGGCTAAAGAGCTGGGGCCTGAGTCTGGGGGCGTGGTCAAGGCAACGGGGGTGGAGCCTGAGCCTGGGGGCGGGGCTAAGACACCAGGGGGCGGGGCCTGAGTCTGGCGGCGTGGTCAAGGCACCGGGGGTGGAGCCTGAGCCTGGGGGCGGGGCCTGAGTATGGGGGCGTGGCCAAGGCACCGGGGGTGGAGCCTGAGCCTGGGGGCGGGGCTACCTGGTGAATAATAAAATGGCGGCAGTGGATGGCGTCACGCTGACGATGATGATGTCACCCCGGTTGCATCGTCCCAACGACGCCGTGATTGCGCCGCGGCGATGACATCACCGCCGTGACGTCACCCCAATCCCCCCCCCCATGTCCCCGCCCCGCCGGCGCTACGCGGGTGATGTCACCCCGATGACGTCGCCCCGATGATGTCACCACGATGACATCACCCCGATTACGTCACCCCCGTGACATCACCCCGATGAAGTCACCACAATGACGTCACCCTGATGGCTTCACCCAATGACGTCACCCCCATGACGTCACCCCGATGATGTCACTGCGATGACGTCACTGTAATGATGTAACCACAATTACGTCACCCAATTTACGTCACCCCATGACGTCACCCCGATGATGTCACCACAATGATGTCATCGTGATGACTTCACCCCGATGACGTCATCCCCATAACATCATCCCAATGATGTCATCACTATGACGTCACCGTGATGACTTCACCCCGATGACTTCACCCCGATGACTTCACCCCGATGACGTCACCCCGATGATGTCACGCCCATGACATCACGCCCCCCCTAAAAAAACCACGCCGAGCGCTCCGCCCGTGACATCACTTCCTGTTGCCGACATCACTTCCTGCCCCGCCCCACCCGTGGGAGGAGCCCGGGGCTGGGGGGGCGTGGCCGGGCGGGGCCGGGGGCGTGTCCCGGCGCGGGGGGCGTGGCCGGGGGCGTGGCTCAGAGCTGCCCGCGCGCGTGGCGCATGTAGTGCTCGTGCAGCTCGGCCACGCGGCCGAAGGCGCCGGCGCACTCGGTGCAGCGGAACGGCGGGGGAGGGGCGGCGGGG